TCATTTACGAAAAATTAAGTCTTCAGCGCATATTTTTCAGGAAAAAACGGAATTATTTATAAAAGTAAGCTGTCACGCTATATACACATACATATCAAATAACCAGATATATTATACAAGAAGGGAAGCTCGACCAAACAAACACAAATTTTTCCCCTTTGAACATGTAATCCATTATATCCTTTGAACGTGACGGATCTGAAAAAGACATTGGCAACCCAAAAGAAGTCCGAAGCAATAATGGAATCAAATCTGCCCCAACCTTAATATATATAAAGAGATAAACAGAAAACACATTTCCTGCGACTTTTTCTCGAGAACATAGGAAGACGTTCTTCGTCGAATTTTTTTCTTTTATTTACAATTCAGGTGAATTTTTATTCTTTATTTTTGTCACTTACATTTGCGCAAGAATGATGGACACCGACAGTCACATAAGTTATCATCCTTGTCTATTCGGATGTTTTTATAAATAATGAGCGAATGAGCAAATCTACTTTCTCGTGTAGAGATGTCGTCCATCTGACATGTTTCTTTTTTATTAAACCTGTGTAATCTCTGGTAAAAAATTACGTTGACTACGCCCTGCCACTTCCTTGAGCTACCTCCACGCCGGCGAGTTTTATTTGTTTTGACTGAAGAAGAACCTCCTTAACATCTTGTATCTCAAGAGCTCTCAACAGTTTCCATTATGAGGCTACTTCATGCCTTTATCAAGACATGGAACGCGATGGTTCTCTCCATCTCTCTGCTTCCGATTAGTATGCATACAGTATATTGATTCCAGGCGTCTCAAGATTACTTACCATTCGTTCTGTTTGAGAATGGACTTTCGAGTGCCAGGTCGAGTACCTGAGACGTACTTTTCAAGCAGAGGCGGCCTGAAGAGACGGCAAAGGAACCCACCCTACTTGATATGGAGACTGAGATTGCTTTGATCTAGTTTTATCTGTTTAGATTGCTCGTTACATACAAGTGCCGCTTTATCTCCTATTGCGTTACTGTCTTTCTTTGAAGAGGCTTATATCCTTCGATCTTCCACTTCTCTTAGAGAATATATTGCCGTTAAATATTATTAAGTTCCCTTGCGTTAAAAATCTTAACTTGTAATCGACAGAGAAGCATGAAAAGAAGAACGAAACAAATGCTAGATGAAGATAAACTCGGCCTTAGAAGACATATAGAAACGCGCGAGATTTTTTTAGCTTCATGGGTGTAGTCGAGAAAATTAATATTAAAAACACTTAATTTTCGTTGCCTTTTCATCTTAAAAGAAACAGTAGTGGTAGAATTATGATTAAAGCTGAAGGGTTGTTAGCTAAAATGAACTGTTAGGTCCAGAAGATCGTCGGCAACTGTGGTACTGCGTTGACAAGTTGAGACTGCCGAGTCTTCGGGAAGTAATCAAGTAATTATCAACGCAGTACTATTGAATTCTTCAGTTGCAGTCAGTATCGTAATTCCACTATAGATGCAGTAATTCTAATAATGTATGTAATAATAATAATTATTTATTTAAAGGAAAATGTGTAATATGGTTAACTTTGAAAGATGCGGTTTTCTTATTCCGACGTCTTTCCATTAGCTAATGCACGACCTGTTTTTCTTCATTCTTATTCGTATAAGAACTCGTGATTCAGGGAAAATTCCTGCTGTCGTCACCTCTCCTGTCCCATCTTATTTGACTTTAATCAGTCAAAGGGATGTCTCCTGTTTAAAAATGTATCTAATTAGTTTATCGCCCTGTTTTCGGGACAAACAAATTTGTATTACAAGTTGTCACCACTTTTACAAAAATTAAATGCATAAATCACAACATCTTATCTCTCTATTATGTTCCGTTGCCGCTTTCCCTTTTTTTTCCACGGCCTCTTTCGTCAACACCGCTGCGGACATGATTTATTGCAGTCTTTGTTCTTGGGGCGCTTTTCACTCGACGGTTTATAAAAAGTTTATATGATAACCAGAGCACCATGGATGATACTATAAATTATTTATTATATCGCCCATGTGCCTTTTTGCGAAACTTCCTTTCTCCAGAGTAATTCTTTTATCGGTCTCTAAAAAAAGTTGTCTGGCCAAGAGGTAATTTTTCACTGTTGCCAGTCCCTCTATCCCTCTCTCTCTCTCGTAAAATAAGCGGCACATTTAAATTTTCTCCTGTCAATATTTT